CAAGTTTGGGTTAGTTAGAGTCTAAATTAGGGTTAGTTTAAGTCTAAGTTAGGGTTAGTTAGAGTCTAAATAAGGGTTAGTTAGTGTCCAAGTTAGGGTTAGTTAAAGTCCAAGTTAGGGTTAGTTAGAGTCTAAGTTAGGGTTAGTTAGAGTCCAAGTTAGGGTTAGTTAAAGTCCAAGTTAGGGTTAGTTAGAGTCTAAATTAGGGTTAGTTAGAGTCTAAATTAGGGTTAGTTTAAGTCTAAGTTAGGGTTAGTTAGAGTCTAAGTTAGGGTTAGTTAGAGTCTAAATTAGGGTTAGTTTAAGTCTAAGTTAGGGTTAGTTAGAGTCTAAGTTAGGGTTAGTTAGAGTCTAAGTTAGTGTTAGTTAGAGTCTAAATCAGGGTTAGTTTAAGTCTAAGTTAGGGTTAGTTAGAGTCTAAGTTAGGGTTAGTTTAAGTCTAAGTTAAAGTCAGTTAAATCTCATGCCGGACGTTTTGTTTTCTCCTCTCATTGAACCTGTTTTTACGTTAAACACCCCGATCGTGTTCGGACTCTCCTCCTGACGCCTGGTCGTGTTTTCGCTCCTTCATTATGCTAAGTGATGTTATTTGGCTCTGAGCCAATCAGACGCTGCCAACGATCTGTCATCCGACTATGCCATAACCACATTAGCACAGACACACACTCTGTGATCGACTTACTGCCCTGACAACACATATCCATTTGTTTAGTCTGTGCTACCTGTCTCACACACACACACACACACACACACACACACACACACACACACACACGCTTGTTAACCAATCACAGGCAGCCTGACAGTCATTAAGACAAACTGTCAGAGTTGAGAGGAGACGAAGAACTCACTAACGAACTAACTAACGAACTAATTCATAACTTAATTAACTAACGAACTATCCAAATATCTAACTGATAAATGACCTTACTGACTAACTAACTCACTAATAAACTAACTAAATAATTCATAAATTAACTAACGAACAAACTAACTCTCAGACTAACGACAGTCAGTGACGCTGCGTTCGTGTTTTCAGGTGTTAAAACAAAAAAAAAAGGGATAACATCATTAACATAAAGATGAAGTGACTGTCAGAGTTTGAAGGGATCATGTTTGATAAGATCTGACTCTCCCACTAATCTGACTGTGATTTATGATAATTCCTCATTTCCAGCTTCAGTCTGTGTCACATTCAGTCTTTCTGCTCCGTCACACGATGGTGTAATGAGGTCAGACCACGAACAAGACCTTCAGAGTCTGCAACCATTCTGTGTTTCACAGGGTTACACATCTATACCATTACAATTATTATTATTATTATTATGAACATTACTGTGAACATCTAAAATCATCATGATTATTATCGTCAATATTCTTACTGGATAAACATGAACAATGAAACATGATGCAGCCTTCAGTTGGTTTATCATCGACCTTCATTAAGACTTTAACTGTGTCTGACTTTAGAGCCGAGACTGAAAACATGTCAGTGCGTGGAAAACTGAGACAACGTGGAAAACTGAGACAACGTGGAAAAAGATGAGGAATGTTATAAATGAAAGAGAAACATTAAAAACTGAGAATGAAAAGAGAGACATCTGTAAAGTTTAGATGGATTAAAATGAGACGAATGATAAAGGAAGGATGGATGAATGAGTAACAGAGTGGATGCTGTAGAGTCAGATCTCAGTGATCGATCAGTGATCGATCAGGTCGATCAGGTCAGTCTGTGACTCTAAAACCATCAGGATGAGAAACCTCCTCATGTTTCTCAGTGTTTGTGTGTTTTTTGTGTTTACCATGAGAGAACCTGGTTGTATCCGTACTGGAAGTCTCTCTCCTGTTCTTTGCGGACTGGGTACACCAGCTGGTTCTCATGGAAGTACAGAACCTTCTTCAGTCGGGCCAGGTCCGGTCTGAGAGCCACGAGTTCACAAAGGTTCAGGACCGAGCTGCTGAACAGAACCCTGAGGAGGAGGAAGATGGAGCTCCAGGTGAGAAAGGTCAAAAGGTCACCGCAGACTCACCTGTTCACACTCAGGAAATAGATACAGGTAATATTTGAGAACATATTTGTATATATAAATACATATAAAGTCATATATTTATATAAAGTCATATATTTATATAAATTCATATATTTATTTAAATATATATATTTATATAAAGTCATATATTTATATAAATTCATATATTTATAAATATTTATATATTTGAGATTCTGCTCACACTCAGCAGAACATCATTTACAAGTTCAGTGTTTCTAAACGGACCAATGGTGTGAGGTCACATGTTTATATTCCATCAGCAGAACGTCCAATCATATGGGGGGGGGGGGGGGGGGTCCTATCTGTCAGGTCCGTCTGTTTCCATAGTGACCAGAGCACAGGTTGATCCCACTGTGAGGATCTGTGGAGTTTAATAACTTAGCAGATACTCAGAGCTCCTCTGTTCCTGGACTTAGATTTACATACAGTAAATATTTATATACAGTTTATATTTATATACAGTTTATATTTATATACAGTTAATATTTATATTTGAAAACAAATAAATATAGGAGTAACTAATATATTTATATATATTTATATACTTTAATATATTTGAGATCCTGCTCAGACTGATGGTAGAGAGGAGGACTCACACCGACGTCCATCAGCTGATTTCTCACCTGTATGATTGACAGGTGGGGATGTTCTGGCTGAAGTACAGAGCGGCGGTCCTCGCCCTCCAGTGCCATTTCTTGGCAGGAAGCGTGAAGACGGCGGCGTCTGTGACGTTCTCCTTCAGCAGGTCAATCAGCTGTTTGTGAGAACCTCCATAAAACGGCTCCACGAGAAGAAGAGCGGAGCGGAGGAAACACACCTCTGACACACACACACACACACACACACACACACACACACACACACACACAGATAGAGGAGAGTGAGGGTCAGGCCTGACGTCGGCGTGTCGTGTCACATTAAAACTCGTCCCAGTGAAACACCGAGGCTGTAAAAATCGAAGGATCCTGGAGGTGAAAATAACCCCGCCCCCCCCAGACCCCGTAGCAGACAAGTGACCGTGACACCAACATCACCCTGACTGGACGGGGGGGTCAGAGTCCAGTGTTTCTAAAGCTGTGGCTCTGGGCCCTTAACAGGCCAGTGAAAAACAGTGAGGGGTCAGCAGAGATACTCTGAAAAAGAGTGAGCACACACACACACACACACACACACACACACACACACACACACACACGCTGTCCCAGTGTTGTCCTGAATGAAAGTGTCGCAGCAGCAGAAAGTTTATGATGATGAAAATAAAGATCCTCATAATAATAACCAGAGTGTGTGTGTGTGTGTGTGTGTGTGTGTGTGTGTGTGAGCAGCACATTAACACACAGCTCCATCATTCCTCCATCTCTCCTCTCAATCCTCCCAGTCATTCCAGTCTCTCCATTTATCGCCACAATGGGAGCAGCAGCTCTCAGAGCGACCGCCGACCGTCCTGACCAGAATCAGCTCCCATCAGCAGCAGGAAATGAGCTCGCGCACGCACACACACACACACACGCACACACACACACACACACACACACACACACACACACACACACACACACACACACACACACATATGCACACTCTCTGGTAAGTGTGTGGACGATCTGATTGGACAGCAGAATGTCCTCATTGTGTCCAAACGCTCCAATCTATTTCTGAAAGACGTCCAAATAATGGGAATCTGAAAATGTGGACGTGTCAGATTAACGCCAGATTAACCGCCGCGCTCTGACCTCCTGCTCAGCGTGGACTCAGAGACCGAACGCCGCACCGTCACCTGTCTCACCCCGTGTCTCACCCCGTGTCTCACCCCTGACCCCTTCACAGGGAGACTCACCTGGATGAGTCGCACAGACACACCAGGGTCCTGAGACAAACCAGAACCAGAACCAGGATCACAAAGAAGACCCAGACTAGAATCGTGGTCCCTTGTGTTTTTGACTGACAGGCTGTCAATCATCTCTCTCTGTCTGCAGCCACGGCGCTCTGGCTTCTCGCTCTCTTTAGTGGGCGGGGCGTTCTCCCACTCTGTGTGTGTGTGTGTGTGTGTGTGTGTGTGTGTGTGTGTGTGTGTGTGTGTGTGTGAAGTAACCTCTAATTTCCGTCACATCCAGACCGGCTCCGATCTGGAATGGCGGCGATTTTCGTCTTCTGCCAATTTCTACCGGATCCGTATGTGAGGCGAACTTCATGGCGGATTACAGACAGAGGTAACCACGAGAACTCACAAGAACCCGCAGATTCACGATCAATCGTACGATAACGAGTCGTCTCTATAAAGACAGACACAAAGACACTACAGACCAAAAGTTTGGAAGCACGTCTTTTTCAGGACGAACATTTCGGAGTAACTTCAAGTTTTTGTCTTTTTTTAACTCCAGTTTGATGTATTTTGGGATGTATTTACTCCATGATCAGATGTTGTTTCCATGGAAACGCACCATTTTACTCCATTTACCTTTAGATATACATCGATGTTAACAGACCATTGCTAAATATATGTCAGCTAAAGATAATAAGGGCTTAGTTTTAGGGTCGAAAACATTTGCAAGAGTCACAACAAAACAACAAATCACAGTTGGATTATTCACTTCAACTTTTTGTCTTTTGAGAGTCTGCAGACAAAAATCCTAATAAATCTAAACTGTGTTCAAACTACCGCAGAAATGACCAGAAAGAAGCAACTGAGTAAAGAAACAAAAGTACAGATTTGTACATCGAGGAAAGAAGGAAACACAGGAAGAGAAAAACGCCTAAAGGTGTTTAACAAAGGAGTCGACTACACTCTGAAGAGACGAGAGGAACCTGGAAGTTATGATGATAGATAAAGACCTGGACGAAAGAGAGTTACTACAAAAGCAGAGGATAAACAGAACATTGTCACCAGGAAGAGAGATCGGAGAAAGACAGCACCACAAATAAGGGAGGAAATCAACATGACAAGGTCGAAACCCATATCTCTGACAACCGTGACGTTTGAGAAAGGCTGGTCTGAAGGGTTGTGTATCTGTAAAAAAACACTACTTCATCCACAGAAGAAGAAAAAGAGATATGAGTGGACAGAAGCTCACAAAAACTGGACTAATGATGATAGAAACAAGTTTGAACTGTTTGGTTCCAAACTCAGAGTCTATGTCTGCAGACAAACTGGTGAACGTCTGAAAGCTCCATGTGTTACACCCACAATTCAGCATGGAGGTGGTAGCTCATGGTATGGGGATGTTTATCAGGTGATGGAGGAGGAGATTAGTTTGAAGTAAAGGGTATCATGAAGAAGGAACAGTACCACTCCATCCTCCAGCACCATGCTGCTCCATCTGGACTCAGACTTGTGGCTCATAAGTTTGTTTTGCAGTAAGACAATGACCCTAAGCTCTCTGCCGAGCTCTGTCAGGGTTACCGAGACAAAAGAGAAGAGGAAGGTGTTCTTCAAAAGATGGTTTGGACCCCTCAGTCTCCAGACCTTTCTCCATCTGAGCTTGTGTGGGATGAATCGGATCGATCGGTCAGAAAAACTCATCCCTCGAATCAGCGTCTCTTTTTAATGAACTTAAGAAAGCTTGAATGAAATCCCTGGAACAGGCCTTAGAAAACTTGGTGAATGAATGCCTGGTATATGCCGAGCTGTTGTTAAAGCCAGAGGAGGTTACTTTAAAGAAAGTCTAACAACAAAAACTCAAATACCTCAGAATTATAGTCAGAATGTCTTCAGATCAGTTACTCTTTACACAATAGTCGTGTTTACTGTGTTGGAAATTATATTTATGAAACTATGATCTTTTTTGTACTAATCTGATCTTCTTCTAAACTTTTGGCCTGTAGTTTATAAGCAGTAGATTGTGTCCTTCCAGAGGAGGAAATCTACTTCTAGACTTCTAGAATCAGCATCTCCTCATCCAGAGAGGAGAGAGGAGAGGAGGAGAGAGGAGAGGAGAGGAGAGGAGAGAGGAGAGAGGAGAGGAGAGGAGAGGAGAGGAGAGAGGAGAGGAGAGGAGAGGAGACAGAGGAGAGGAGAGGAGAGGAGGAGATAGGAGAGGAGAGAGGAGAGAGGAGAGAGGAGAGGAGAGGAGAGGAGAGAGGAGAGCAGAGAGGAGAGGAGAGAGGAGAGAGGAGAGAGGAGAGGAGAGGAGGAGAGAGGAGAGAGGAGAGGAGAGAGGAGAGAGGAGAGGAGAGGAGGAGAGAGGAGAGGAGAGAGGAGAGAGGAGAGGAGAGGAGGAGAGGAGAGGAGGAGAGAGGAGAGAGGAGAGAGGAGAGGAGAGGAGGAGAGAGGAGAGAGGAGAGGAGAGGAGGAGAGAGGAGAGGAGAGAGGAGAGGAGAGGAGGAGAGGGGAGAGGGGAGGAGGAGAGGAGGGACGAGAGATGGCAAGAAGGTGTGGGGTGATGGAGTGAACAGGGAGACTTTACAGATTCACAAACACACACACAAACACACACACTCTCGCACACACACACACACACTCACACACACACACACACACACACATAGAAGTTGAACTCTGACACCAACAGAAAAATCTGAACTGGAATCAAATCGTCTCACAGGATGTTTGTCAGTAACTGGATCGAGATGAAACTTATTATTTCACCTGAGAAACACTTCCACACACACACACACACACACACACACACACACACACACACACAGAGTTCCTGTGAAAACCACTCTGGGGGATTCCACACACTCATCTCTCTCTCTCTCCTGCCCACGGTGTAAATATTGAAGCTGCGTCTGTCGGTGCTCAGAGGGTTAATGTTGGTGAGGGAGGGGGGGGCCCCTGTGAGCGGGCAGCGAGGGGTTAAAACGGGCTGGAAACTACACACACCTACAGGTCTGTTATTAAACACACCAACTGTTCCTTTAGAGAGACAGAACGCCTTACCCATCAGCCCCTGCTGCTCTCCTTACCCATCGTCCTGCGTCCAGATCGTACGAACACGTCTTTGTCTTTAACTCCCTTTTAGTTTAAATAAATTTACGTTTTTAAACAGTTTCATGTCGTCAGGGTTCGACAGTTTCTCTGTGACTAAAAATTGATGTGTGTGAAATAAAGTAAAATGTATTTAGGGGCACATAAAAATATCAACAAACGTTTTTTTCCTGTAAATACGGCGGTGAAGTTAGTTTTAGGTTGGATATATTTTCCTGTAAATACGGCGGTGAAGTTAGTTTCAGGTTGGATATATTTTCCTGTAAATACGGCGGTGAAGTTAGTTTCAGGTTGGATATATTTTCCTGTAAATACGGCGGTGAAGTTAGTTTTAGGTTGGATATATTCTCCTGTAAATACGGCGGTGAAGTTAGTTTCAGGTTGGATATATTTTCCTGTAAATACAGCGGTGAAGTTAGTTTTAGGTTGGATATATTTTCCTGTAAATACGGCGGTGAAGTTAGTTTTAGGTTGGATATATTTTCCTGTAAATACGGCGGTGAAGTTAGTTTTAGGTTGGATATATTTTCCTGTAAATACGGCGGTGAAGTTAGTTTTAGGTTGCATATATTTTCTTGTAAATACGGCGGTGAAGTTAGTTTTAGGTTGGATATATTTTCCTGTAAATACGGCGGTGAAGTTAGTTTTAGGTTGGATATATTTTCCTGTAAATACGGCGGTGAAGTTAGTTTTACATTGGATATATTTCCTGTAAATACGGCGGTGAAGTTAGTTTCAGGTTGGATATATTTTCCTGTAAATACGGCGGTGAAGTTAGTTTTAGGTTGGATATAGTTCCCTGTAAATACGGCGGTGAAGTTAGTTTCAGGTTGGATATATTTCCCTGTAAATATGGCGGTGAAGTTAGTTTTAGGTTGGATATATTTTCCTGTAAATACGGCGGTGAAGTTAGTTTTAGGTTGGATATATTTCCCTGTAAATACGGCGGTGAAGTTAGTTTTAGGTTGGATATATTTCCCTGTAAATACGGCGGTGAAGTTAGTTTCAGGTTGGATATCTGACGGACATTCTCTGAGGATCTACCGTTGTCTTCTCACTCTCCATAACCGGGAATAACAACAGCAGCGCAGTTAAATCTACTCGACACCCTCACTGTCAACGTCGGTGTTGAATAAGGGACCGTCAATAAATTACTGGTTGATGTTCTCAGAAAAGGCTGTTTTCCTTTAATAGCTTCACTGTCATATGAACAAAAGACCTAAAATTGATTTCTAATAATAGTACTAAGGTCGATCAATAAGACAAACATTATTGATCAGTTTTCCCCTGAAGTTTTTTTGTGCTCCTGATGACCAAAGTTCATGTCGAACCCTGGTTAGTGTGCGATTCATTCTTCAGATCGAGTTTAATTAATTTTTTTATTCGGTTAAATTAACAGAATTATTTTAAAACTTCTGAACATGTTTCATCAAAATGACTAAAGAGAGTCGATGTGTCTGTAAATCTGCAGATATTATTATTATATCTGAGCTCTTCTTCTCACTAACTAATAACTGTCAGAACAGGTTTGATCGTTTATTAGAAAATCTGATAATAATAATATTAATAATAATAATAATAACCAGAATTATAATAGTGTATAAAAGATAAAAATACACATGAATAAGAAGAAGTGACGGTTATTTAGGGAGAGAGAAGGTGAGGGAGGGCTGGGGGGGAGAGAGAGTGGGGGGGTAGCAGGGATACGGCTCAACTTACCCCCCCATACCCGGGGTAAGTTGACCATAGGAGACCCTGTTTCTGTCCTGTTCTATTCTGAAGATGACGGTTCAGTTTTTACTCAGTCTGATGGTTCAGAGCGAAAAACAACAAACTGAGAAATCTGAGGAGAGTTAGAGACACACACACACACACAAACACACAGTTAGAGACACACACACTGACACACACGAGTTAGAGACACACACACACAGACACACACACACACACACACACACACACACACAGTTAGAGACACACAGACACACACACTGACACACACACAGTTAGACACACACACACACACACACACACACAGTTAGAGACACACAGACACACACACTGACACACACACAGTTAGACACACACACACACACACACACACACACACACACAGTTAGAGACACACAGACACACACACTGACACACACACACAGTTAGACACACACAGACACACACACACACTGACATGGATCATCCTAACTTTATTAACTTCATTAAAGAAACATTTGGGTCTCCAGAACTTTCCTCTCAGGTCTGAAGGTTCTGATGGTTCTGGTGGTTTTGAAGGTTCTGGTGGTTCTGAAGGTTCTGGTGGTTCTGCTCTGAACTTTAGTCTCTTTGCCCCCCCCTCGTTAGCCTCGTTAGCCTCGTTAGCTCCGCCGGTTGCTAACGGCTAACTAGCTCTCCCTCTGCCGGTAAACCCTCCCCCTTCCCTCTCTCAGCCGCTCTCAGCCCGCGGGAGGACCGGCGCACAGACCCCGCCACAGTTTCCAGCTGTTCCCGGTCAGGTGTGTCCTCTGTGGGGGACAAACAGCGGGCCGAGGTCCCGCAATAAGACGATAAGAGGAAAGTTAGCGACACTCACCTCCGACTGCATACTTCCGGCGTCAATCCACAGCTGACGCACAGGCCCGTACGTCATCACGTCAGGACGTGCTCCTCCTCCTCCTCTTGTTAAAATGTTGATTTTTGTTTTTTAATCAAGTTAAATTTAAGTTAAGTTAAATATTATCTTCAGAGACACTCGGTCATTTCAGGTTATTTTACATGTTTTATTAGGAAAAATTTCAAACTAAAAAATGAAATAAAGAAATAAAAAATGTCTCCTCTGTATTAAAAACTTAAATTAATGATAAATAACTTTTTCATAAATGATAAAAATAAACCCTCTGCTTTATTATCAGTCCAACTTTAACAAAAATACACAAAAACAAACACAAATATCTGAAGTTTTTTTTTTCATCCTTTTGGCCAAAAAACAAAAACTATAAAAAAAATTTTATTACTTCATCAGAAACAA